CTCACCCCGAAGCGGCCGTATCCTCGCTCCGGCGGTGTCCTAGGAACAGCTCCGCGCTGGGGCTGGACCTCTCGCTGTGTCACGAGCCGGGGTCCGACTCTGCTACTCGTTGAAGATGGCGTTGAGCGGGGGCCCGGCCACGTGGTGGGGGTAGGACTCGTAGCTCATGTCTATGGGGATCTCGTAGCGGGGCACTGCGTTTTGGAAGTGGGAGGCGTGTCCATGGGCTCCAGCCAGGCTGACCGAGGGATAGTGGGCCATGAAGGTGTAGGATTTATCCAGGTCTGGAGACCCGTCTTGCTTCAAGGAGAAGTTCCCGCTGATGCTGAGGGGCGGCGTCAGGGGACCCTCGTAGGGGGGGGGGGTGCAGTCAGAGGGATGGTTCCCAAAGGAAGCATCCACCAAGCTCTTGAAGGTCGGCGGCTTTAAATGCAGCAGATGCGTTTCCATGGTGCCGTAGGGTGGGCTTGGGAGCCCCGGCGACTGGTAGCTGAAGGAGTGGCTGGATACGGCCGACTCGCACGCCGGGGACTTCTCCTCGTGCTTCTCCAGGAACAAGGTCTGGGGTCCCAGCTGCAGGCAGCCAGCGACCAGGTTGCTGGTGGGCTGGGACAAGCCCTTGCAGAGCATCTCCACAAAGCTCTTCCCTTCGGGAGTCTGCCCCGTCTCCAGCACCTCCGACAGAGCCCAGATGTAGTTCCTCGCAAGCCTCAGCGTCTCGATCTTGGAGAGTTTCTGCGTCTTGGAGTAGCAGGGCATCACCCTCCTCAGGTTGTCCAGAGCATCGTTCAGGCCGTGCATCCGCGTGCGCTCCCGGGCGTTGGCCTTGACCCTCCGGGCCCTAAACCGCTCCAGCCTCGCCTTGGTCATTTTCTTCTTCTTTGGTCCTCTCCTCTTCGGTTTTTCCCCGTCGTCCTCTTCCTCCTCCTCTTCCTCAATGCTGTCGTGCTCCTCGTTCAAGCCAGCCATCAATCCGAAAGGTCCCGGCCTGCCGTCCTCTTCCTTCAGCTCGTCTTTGGAGCTCAACGCTTCCTCCATCCAGGCTTGGGTGCTCACGAGCTCCGCCATCTCTCCGGGCTTGGCGTACGTCTTGGTCATCTCGGATCCCTGCAATGGGGGGACAAGGGGATGGTAACGAATTCCAGGCACTCAACGTGTTGAGGGCACGAGGAACTGAGCTCAAAACCTTCCTCCAGGGATATCAGCTGCTTTCTGCCCACTCACCGCACCCACGGAATCTCTTGATCCATCATCTACCTGTTTATCCAGCTACAGTCACCTCCAATTAATCTTTTTGGGACCACTGAAGCCTCTCCCTGGAGCCCAGCAGCTCTTTTCCAGGGTTCAGGGCTTCCAACAGTTCAATTTTGGGGTTATTCCCACTCGTGAGTCCCTCCCCTCGTGGCTTCGACCCCGGTTGTCACGTTACGGGTTCCCTGCCCGAGCTCTTCCAACCGGAGCACGTTTGCCTGAACCTTCGTTTCCCTCTGCCATAACGAACACGGTGACACCGCACAAACCCGGGTTTCACGTTAATCAGCTCCCCCCACCCCCCAAATCCTGTCATCGTGCCTGACTCATTTCATAAAGCTTAGCGTCTAAGCAGCTTTGCCCCAAAGTGCGCTGCCCGAGCCCCGGCCCCACCGCCCCTCTCCACCCCACGCGGAAAATCCCACTTTTAATATGCCTGATGGGGCTCGCGGGCCGGATTAGGGTGTCAATTGCCACGCGCAGCCAGCGCATCCCCGAAGGACCACGCAGCCCCACTCGGAAACGTGGTGGGGGTGGGACCATTTTTGGGATGCAGGGATGGATCGGGCTGAGCCGGGATGGAGCGGGTCCTTCTGCCAGTGGGATCACAGGGCTGCACACGCTTTTCAGCCCAGAAACGCCTGCGGATCTGCTCCCAGACTTCTCCAGGATGCAGCCTAAGGCTTCCTCCCCACTTGGGGACACATCCCGAGCGCAGCATTCCTACCTGTGGTCCCCATCCCTCACTGGTCCTGGGCGCCAGAATCCATCCCAGAAAATCAGCAGGTTCGGGGCTCTGTTCAAGCCCAGCGTCCTCCCCCAATTCCCTGCACTTCGCGGCGCAGTATTCCCAGGGAAATGCTTCTTTTTGGAAACCCAGATTGAGTTTTTAGGGATTTTGCTCCCTTTCTCCAGAATATTGATTTTTTAAAAGGGAGGGGGGAAAGGAGACAAAGAGGGAATTGCCTGATGAGGTCACTTTGGTAGTTTTCCAAGACAGCGGGAACCCGCTATGGAATGGGAAGCTTGTCCAACCCCTTATTTTGAACACCTTTCATTTTCCGACATCTGCATCCCGCATCCTCTGAACAGACCACAAGGAACCCACCAGAGAAAAATAAAACATAAGTCTGCTGTAGCCAAATCCTTCATTTTCAAGCCGGGGTGGCTCAGCACGTCGCAGAGGGAGATGCTCTCCCCTTGTGCCAACAGGCACCGAGCTCCCATCCCCATCCCAGTGGGATCAGCTCCGTCTCTGTGGCACCAGGAACTTGGTTTTAACCCTCCCCTTGGTCCAGGACAAAGACTGACAACTCCAACCCTGCACCAAGACCCTGAGCCCGGACGGGACCACCCAGAGGATTGGGAACACGGAGGGCTGGGGAGTTGGATGCTGGAGAGATGCTGCCAGGGACAAAGTGGGCAGCTGGAGCCGGGAATTCGTCATGGAGAGGAGCAGGAGGGAGAAGACACCCGCAAGCAGCCAACTGGGGCAGGGGAGAGGGGGTGCACTGCTATTTGGGGAGGGGGGTGGAATCTACCCCGGGCCAGCCCTGCAGCATCCACACAGACCTGGAAAAGAGGGAGGAAGGGGGAATGCTGCGTCCTCCTAGGGTCCTGGCCCCAGGCAGGACTCGCTGGGGAAGGGGCTGTGCTTGCAGAGCACCGGGTGCCCCAGCCGGGGTCCCCACACCCCCGGGGCGACACCCCCACACCCC